AGTATTATACGAATATGCAAGGAGAGTTTTTGGGTATACTAATTTTGTTGACTGTTTGATAATAATAGCCTTAAATGCTTTATTTATGCTTATATATACTTCATCGACCGCCGAACTTTTGGAATAGACAGATTCCGCGGCCTTTTCTCAGTATTAATATAAAGATAAGGGTATTGATTAATTCATAGAAAAACAATAAATATCATTATGCCGTTCACAAGATACCCTATATATCTTGTATTTCGGAACTCGAGATATACGATTGTTGGAATGCAGCCAAGTTCAGGCCGGGCTTCCATCAACTATATTGACCCAATGCTTACGTAAAGTCCCTGTATAGCAAAATCCAACTTCCCTTGCGATATTCATTTGACCCTTCAAATAGTTGAACGTGGCGGTTCTGTGTTACGTATCGTCAAAATTCGTTTTAACATTTTTTCATATATTATTTACATTACGAATTGAAATAAAAATGATGTATGATAACAGGTGTTTGTTTAGGAATCCGACAAATAGTGTTGCTCGTTGATTGTACGCACTGCCTCATGAGCATTGTTAAATTTACTGCCACGCCAACTTAGGAAAATCACTAATCCCTAGAATTATCTTGTCTTTCAAAATGTGTCTCATTTTTTATGTGAAAAGTTGGCCAGCGAGCAGGCTGTTTTTAAGTGATTAACACCCATGGACATCTACAACTCTTGAAGGTTGCAGTTGCGTTGCCAAACCTTTTAAAAAAATTGGCCCCGATTACCCCACTCACAAAACGAATTGCACTTCCACTAACGCCGGTCTCCTGTGAGGTCGTGGTACTTTCGTGGCACTTGTGAAAAATGCAAACGCATGAGCAATGCAACTCCGCATGTCCCATGCGGGGACAAGGACGGTTGTTGTATCGGACGCGCATCGGCTAAAACCTTGACGTTTCACTTGGGTCGAATATCACCAGGGACACGAAAACACTTTCGAAAACTTCCGAAACCCTGCCAGCACTGGCCGCCTCAGCAGCCCCTACTCGGACAGCAACTCCTCTTTCCTCCTGGTACGCTGGAACTCGGTGCACCCGGCCTTTTTGTACTAAAATAATATTTATTTAATAGTTATAATAACTAGTAAGGTAATTCCAGGAAGTAATGCATAGCTTGAATCAAGGTGAAAATGCTTTGTGTAATTGTAATGTTCGTTAGTTTCCTGATTGAGAAGTAATCTTGTCAAGAATTTATTTAAAATATCCTAACGTGTTTTTTTGTTCCTTTACCCAATTTCTGTTGTGTAATAGAAGTTGGGTAAAGGAGACAGAAGAGAATTGGCAAAATAACTGACGTATCGGTGGAGCCATAGTAGGAAAAAATATCCGACTTGTCAGTTAAATTGGGAAAATAGTAGATCACATTGCTGGAGGCTTTACATCTGCATTGCAGCTTAGCCAATTTCGTGGAGATGCCCCTCGTTCGGACTAGTAACAATAGACAGAAATAATTTATAATACGTGAGATGTAATTTACGTAGACATTTAAACATCTTTTGTTTATAACCAAAAGTTGTAATTAAAGTTTATTGTATTGTAATATTCGAACAAAATTATCAGAAAATTTCATTTAGTAATCATACCGCTTTCTGTATGGGATGCTGGAAATCGTAACCGCTAACAAATGTGTTAAATTTTTACTTGTTTTTAAAGAGCTCGATTATTATCTTTATGTGAGAAGGTGGCAAACGTCCTGGCGGTTTACCCGATGTTAAATGGTAACCGCCGCCCATGGACATTTATAACACCCGTAGGGTTGCAGATGCGTCGCTACCTTTTAATAAAGTGGGCCCAGGCTAGTACACTCACCCAAAGAAACGCAGAAGCATAACACTTCAACCCTCCAACGCCGGTCTTCTGTGAGGTCGTGTACTAATCGGGACGGACCTGCCCATCCGTGCAACAACCGAAGCTGTTGTGAGTATTCTATAATTGTCATTACTAGGAACTAAAGCGAGTCAACTGTTTATAACTCTAAATTTTCTATTATTTTTTAACATTGCCCTTACTGTAGGATAATCGATAAGGAGATATTATCCTGTATAAGGCCTTTTATATACATAAATTTCACGTGGACAAGCACCCAAATGCAAACAATTATATGTGGGTCACACAAACAAACTGAATTTAGATTACTGTCATGTATTAACTGATACAAGATTAATAAGACTCGATTGTCGTAAAGATGATCAAAATCTGTCCACGAGTTTGGTCTCTAGAGTGCCCCTCTAGAGTGCCACAAAGATACCAAGATAATTTTTTTTTATGTGAAAAGTTGCCAAGCGAGCAGATGGTTCACCGAGCAGATGTTAAGTGAAAACCGCCGCCCATGGACATCTGCTACACTCGCAGGTTTGTAGATGCGTTTACAACCTTTTTGAAAATTGGGCCCCGGCCACCTCACTCACCAAACGAAACGCGAAAGTATTATACTTTCCCTTTACGCCGGTCTTCGTAGTACTTACCCGAACGAGCCTGCGCATTCGTGCAACAGCCGAGGCTGTTGCGTGGCCCTACCACCGTTTAATCATACACATACAAAGGCTGATAAACACAGTACTCCTTGCGGTCGGGTAACAAAATACTTCTATGCGTACTGAATGTTATCCATGGCAATTTTTATGGAGTTTTATGAGCTTAAGGTCATACACCCACATAAAAGTAATTTATTTTACTAATGCCATAAATAAAACTTTTAATAGAGGAAGTCGCTACGTGGCTACCTGCCCCCCTAAGCATTAATGCATGGCCCTACCATAATTTTACTCTTAAAGATCTGGTAGAAATCAGATAAACTAACCTAAAAATTGCACTTTTATCCAACGATGTTTAATTATGTAGATGACGTATGTCCATACTGCGCGGCGTTTAAAAAAATTGGTCTGCTTTACATCATATGACATATATGTATTAGTGGACTTGACTACAATTGCTGTCTAATTATTAATAATATCTATTTGTCATATCTGCCTCGTATTTGTATAAAAATATCTTTGCTTTTATATAAATGCACTCTTTCTTTAGTAAGTAATAAATAGCGGGTAACCAAAACTACATTATAAAGATTCTTGCTAAACCAAAGTGTATTATTGCTTCTTTAATGCGCTTGGTACAGAGCCGCTTTGGTCACCGTAATCACCGTTTTTGGACCACATCTCAACGCTCCGGAAGTATCTTTCCAAATGCTCGTCCTTAACAACCACATCAGTAGCGTTTTCACAAGCGTTACAAGTGTTACAACTACACCCACCATCGGAAGTGCATAGTGAACAACTTAAATTCCGCAAAAGTTCATAATTCGATAAGTTCGTTGAAGCTTGTGAAACGTCGTCAGTACAAACATTCTTCAATTCTTTAGCGTTCGGACTGCCAGGATGATTTGTATTGGAACCATTAGCAACAATAGTCGTAAAGTTTCCTTTCGTTAGTTTATTCAATACTAGTTCCATTGATTTCACAGCCGCATTTTGATTTAAAAGCTTTCCCCTGGTTGCTTCGATTTTGTTTTCGGTTGCTGGACCATTACTGTACGATCTAGCTTTTATAATCAATTTCCTTTCTACAGTGTCTTCGTTTTCCATGTTTTGACGTATGAATTTAGATTTATCAACATCATTTTTGCTAACCTAACCTAAACACATAGCCATGGTCTGTCAAATTGGTCATAATTTATTTTTTTAAGTAAATGACATCGTAAAATACCTTTTACGATTTTTATATTATTAATTGGCTAGAGAAATATAATATTTAGAACTTCTCAGATATCATTATAATTTTAAATAATAAAAAAGATGATTTGTGATGATGATGAATTTTGTGATTTATTGTTATTATAACAAATTACTACTTTTAATTTATTTACTATTATTATTTATTTACTACCATTATTTTATGACTTTGACCCTTGGGAACATGGCTCTCGTTTGATATGCTTCATGTATACACACTGCTACTTCTCATCTAAAGGATACTTCGGTCTGGATCGAGGCAGCATCGGAGGCAGCTGAAGTAAGTTGTGCAAAATAAGTTACTTTGTTGAAATTATATTTTTAAAATTTTTATCACAAAAAATAGTTTAAAATAAACAGGGACAGGTAAATATTAAAATATATGGTATTGACTACAGCGCCATCTAATTTATGTGTGTAAAACTAAATGAAACTCACTATATTCTATAGTAACTTAGTACCTCGCCGTACTAACTAGATGGCCATGTTTCATTTAATGTTTCTTTAGTGCAGTGTACTAGATGGCAGTACTAACAGTATTTCGAGAAATACAAAAAGAAGAGAATCTATTAACTTAATTTTCCGCATATTATTCATATTACATTAAATAAAAATACATGAAAACTTTATTTACAATTTTAGAATATTACGCACACATATAGGTAAGTATAAAATATGGCATAGTTAATGTTTATAAAATTGTAAATAAAGTTTTAAACAATTATGTTGTATACAAATAAAAGGTAGTTTATATGACACGAGCGCGCCGAGAAAGAGGTATTCAAAGTACGGCAATTGGTGAAATAACGTAACAAACAACGTAAAACAAAAAATAGTTTTCGTCTATTCTGTCACAGTCTCTTGTCAAATACTTAAAGAAACGTAAAAGATTTTTTTATATTTCAGATAGACCAAAATTAGTCTAAATAACTCGTAGTACCTACACATAGCTAGGGTTTTTGGAAACAGTTTCAGTGGAACAAAAAACGTAAAAACGATCTGAATCAGAATTAGGAATAGCTTGGATAATTCATTAATCTACAAATTTTAATTGTCATAGAGGTAATAAACTAAGGCCCAGAACAGAGAGCAGTGGCATCTTTTCGTGTCGGAAAAATCCTCTTTGGGTCTCTGAGCCAGCCAAGTAAGTAAGTAAGCAAGTGGTAATAAACTTGAAAATAAAAAAATAATCATAAGTGGAAATTTTTCCCAATATTTATTTTCGTATAAATTGATTAAAGTTATCCTAAATAAACACCCTGAATAATTTTGGAGGGTAGATATGTATCGCAGAGAGCACTGACGTTGGGGCACATTGCCTCGATCTCGGCTTTCACACCACTCCTTAACATGTCCTGCAGATCTTTTCTTATCGCCGAACCTGCTAAATCCACAGTTCATGTTAAACTATGCAAAGCATCATTAAATGAGCTTGCCATACATCACTAAATGAATAAAAAATACATCATCATATCCATACATCATAAAATGAATAAAAAATAGTTTTTTTTAATGTAATGTTTTCCACAGAGAATAGTACAGAATAATTGTGCAAAACTGCTCATTGTGCGCTACATGTTAATAAACACGAGTTTTGTTTAATTACTTGCTAATAACAAAAACCGGCACCATTATCTATAAAAACGGCAAAAAAATCATGCCTGTTGTATGGGAGCCCCTCTTAAACATTATTCTGTTCTGTTTTTTACTATTTGTTGTTATAGTGGCAACAGAAATACATCATCTGTGAAAATTTCAACCGTCTCACTATCAAGGTTCATGGGATACTTTTTTACTCTTTCGGTACGGAACCCTAAAACGCCTTTTTTTTTCAGATTTTTATAATATAAATTAATGAATTGATTGCATTTAATCAATAAATGACTGATAACTAATTGAGTGTAAAGTATGTAATATAAAATTAAAACCTTTCAAATAAAAAACGCAGTAAGCGTATATACCGCTTCAAAGATTTCATGCCTTAATCGTTTTAACTCGCTCAAGATTTTACACATATCCCATTGGACGGGCCTAGTCATAGATTTAAACGCTTTTTTTTCATATTCGCACATAGGCTAAAGTAAATGAAATGTAAAATTTAATGAACTAAATCAATTAGTCTGTTTCGGTTTTCAAATACCACCGTCTTTAGTAGTTTAGTAGTTTCCGATTCATTTATTAGGTGACGACTGAGTATTGTTATACGTACTCAATTTTATATTAACGCAAGGCTGTCAGCCTAACGGTTTCGCGAATGCGGTGTAACGTGTGATTTCATCACTTTGTCGAAATTGTTGTTTTTCTAAAGACTAGGCGGCATGTCATATGAACCTTTGCCTTTTCGAAAGGTCAAATCAAAAAGTTAAGTTCATTTGTTGGTACTTGTCATTTGAGATTGCCGCCGGTTCGAATTGACATTGGATTAGTTTTTGTGGATCTATTATCTTCGACTGTGCATAGCTAGAGGTTGAAATCAGAATACGTTCCTGGTCGTATTATTTGTGATTGTTGTCTGGGAAACTCTGTGCTGGATTTGTTATCCCTCGTGGTGGATGCTGAAGGCATAGGTGGCTGGCAAGCTGGTCTGAGCTGATGCTCTATTAAATATTGTTTTTTACCTCCAGTTGGAGGTCTCCTACATACCCCCCCAACAGTGTGGCTGTACACACTACACTTGGCCTGACTTTCTCTACTGGTTCTGAGCTCAACGCTGACCTGTGCACACAGGGCAGATGTCTCTGCGGTGACATAGATTTTAAATAACTACCTGATTGGACTTTGTTTTTTTTTTTTTAAATTGAATTGCATAAGTTTTACCATCTCAAATTAATTTAATTATTTAACCTTTTATGGTCGCACAAAGTAATGTGTAGGTCCTATGTACTCACGACTCCCTGAGATACTTAATTGTATTTATTACAACAGTCTGTTCCTAACAGACAAGGCGCCCAACTCATTATTATTATTATATTACAAAATATATTGTATCTGAGCTAGTCCAGGGATTGTAAATCGATCGGATCTTGGTCATCAGAAACTGATATGCACTAACCTGCCGTTGTATTAAGGTATGGTCTTTTGACTAAGCTATTTATTTTCCCCTTGTCGAGCGTCGTAAGTGGAAGGCGCGCTTCTTTGGGTGCAAGCGTCATGACGTCATTGTGTCTGGCCCCTAATAATTGTAGGGAACTGCAAGCCAGCGATTGCGAGAGGTGGGACTGTGCCTATAATGATAATTATTTACGCAACTAATTACGGTCGATTAAGTTGGCCGAGATTTCTTAATGCCGAAAACGCGAACTTTATTTAGGTTTCTTAGGTATCTCGTCACCAATTAAATGTAAATAATATACAATGCACATTACACATAGTTCAGTTGGGTTTTCTTGAAGGGTATCGGGTTGAATTCGCAACTTTCCACCGATATTCCTCCGACTTTCAGATTCCAACGTACAATAAGTAGAAATTTTTACGCGCATAGTGATTGATTTACGAGTACCACAAAAATTTTGCGACACAATATAAAAGAAAATCAAAGAAGAGTTTTAGATTTGTCTTATCGTGATGGGAACGTTTTAAATACATTGTTTAATAAAAGATGATAACATTGACCTAGAGTTCTGGCTTGTGAATTAGCGGAACTTATAAATCATACTTATTAACTAGGAAATTTTACCAGGGAGCCGTATTTGTAAGTGAGGAAGATCTCGTAGCCGTGGGGATCGGCGTCCACCAGCGCCAGAGCCCGTAGTCGCAGCTCGGCCACGAGCCGGCAGAGGAGTTGCCGTGTGCACACGTCCGGGTAGCCTTTGCCCTACTAAGCATATCAGACTACCGCAAATAGCACCACCGAACGTAATCATTATTGCTTATGGAATTACTGCCAGATATCGCTTGTATTTGCCGATTGAATACTTTATTCTGTCTCGCCCTCTCACTCTCTCTCTCTCTCTCTCTCTCTCTCTGACTATCTAATTAGGGTAAAGAGATGTGTTTGAACCGCAATGAAGTAGAAGGCATTAGCTCGTGCTGCCAATTTTTCACCAAGCTTGTAAAATCTATCACAGGCAGTGAGAATTCTTGATCGAATGTAAGAATCGGAAGTAAACTGTTAGTCCCTATAGAACCAGCCTATGGGTTCTTACACTATATTTTATATAGTTATTATTACTAACGTAAAAAAATACTTTATAGTATAATGCCTTGTTTCTCCTTAAAAATTTCTTCTACTGCCTTAAGTTTCTTAAAGTGGGCTTTGAAGGTGCAATCGAAAGATGAATGTTCGGCCATAAAAAATATGCCTTTGTTTGTAAGTCATAGTAATTAATTATTTTCATAAAAGGACTTGATAAATAATTGAACCTCGACATAAACAAAGGCACCAAGAGATTATGGTGCCGCAAAAAGTTGGGTAAATTACACTTCTAATATACAAACAAAGTATACTGAATGTTCAGTACAAGTGCAAAAAGCATATACCAAACCGTATTATGCTCGCGTTTCCTTATAAATTGAAAAAGATCAAACAAATAAAATTTAATAAGATAGGGTTCAATATCATATCATTTTTAGTCGATGTTATAAATTAAATGTTAGTGTAACATTGAAACTTAGTAAACATTATAAAAGCTAAAACTAATATCCTCCATGAAATAAATAAATGAGACATAAATCTATTTTAAAATCTTTTGATTAAATTGAATCTGTTTAAAAGCATGCCACTACACTGCTGTAAATTTCCTCCTCAATATATAGGTAGGGATTGTTAAATATAGTATTAGTTAAATTACTGTTAATTTAGTTATGATTATTATACAAATCCATTCCGTGAAAAGTAAATAAAAACAACTGGTGACAAGGGAACCGGTTATTATCTCTTCTAAAGTTTAATTATAATCATACAGTGATATATTACTGATAACGTTTTTGTCAGTTTAACTTGTGTAAAAGCGCAGTTTGTTAAATATTTTGTTACGTCGTTAATATTCTTAAAAACTTACGGTCAAAATGATAAGAGGCCCCAATCTCACTAACGCTCCTTCATCTAGTAACTTCTGAAATACGGCGTCTTTCTCCACCACCAATATGTACTTTGCGGTCGTCTTGAACTCTTTTATACCGTCAACATCTTGTGGTATTAGCGTTCCTAAAATATTTTTATTGATAAGAACAGTTTTTATTAGACCTTCTTGTTACATGGGGTAATGTCAGTTACAATATAATATGAAATATGTACCAAAACATAATTCGCAAATGGATAGAGTAAATGTTTATGATTTTATAACGTTTTTTAGTTCAGTAATATGAGACGCTCATGATCAAAATCAAGTAAAGTACAGCCTATTGTCCCACTGCTGGGCAAAGGCCTGTACAGAGGATGTTAGGGCATAGTCTAAATACAAATATTTCTTTTTGTTATTATTTGCAAATGATGTAGGTTTTCTCAAGATGTTTTCCTACACCGCTGAGCACGTGATTGCTAAAATGTTCATACTAACTTACAACAGGAAATATGGAATGGAATGAGAAAACAATCTCAACTCTGGACATTAAAAAAGTGTGATACCAACAATTTATACATTCTAGTTCCGTGTAAACTCTTAAAAACGTTAAAATTACCGAGTTTTATTCGTTTACAATTGCAACGTTGTAATTAATCTCATTAACATGATTTTTTTTTTATTAGATACTTAAATTATATTTAATTGTATACTTTAATTATATTTATGATGTTTTAATGAATAATATTTTATATAGATATTTTAATAAAACAAATATGCTGAAATAGTTTAGTTTAGCCGTTTAATAACAAAGCTTTCTTTAAGAGTGCCAAATACACATGTCGAACAAAGTACTAAAAAAATGCATTGATTGCATATGAATATTTTGAGGTTTTCTTACACATTCTTAGTAAATAAATAATAGATGGAGTATAATATTAATAAATATTGTGTTTATAAATACATAATCATAGTATTTGTCAATTATTTTTGTACACGTCTGAGATAGGGTTGATGAGGATTCCTCTTCCTCTTCCTCTTAATGCGGAACCTTCTCATTTTTTTACGAATCCTCTTCCTCATCCGTTTCCACAAAATAAATTTTACAAAATCCTCTTTCTCTTCCTCTTATTAAGAGGAATTTTAAGTGGAAGTGACAAATAATCCGCCGGTTTATTATTATGATTAGAACAGCTTCTTAAAATTGTTTTATTTTTGATTGTTGCATTTTGTGACTAGATTATATTTCATTTATAAGCATTTTTTTGTAATAGCAATTTTTAATTTTAATGAAGCAATATTCTAAATAATAATGGTTATCATTAAAAAAATCGACTAAATGACTTTTGAAATTACGTAGGTAACCGCAGAATGTCGAGAACCGACCTTCTTCCTCCACGGCCACTCCTGTGGCAGCGCGTGATGAAAGCAGAATTTTGAATGCTGTGTTAGTTGATATGCTAAATTCAGCACCAAACAGTGACGAAAATAGCGAATCATGCTCACCAATAAACAGATATGCTTTAGTCACTGTTAGCTGATTATATTAAAGGAAAGAGACTGAATATTACTGAGACAGTCTTTCATGGTGGAAACTAAATCCAAAATATTTTGAACTTTATGGAGTAATCGGTCAGTATTTATCAGCCCCTCCATCAAGTGTGAACGCCTTTTTAGAGGTGCTGGCTTACGATGAGCTAGGAACCCATTTATCAGGAGAAACAGTATCTAAATTATTATTTATTAAATTCAATTTACCAGAAATAAATTTTAAATATTAATATTTAATTATTTTAGCACTAATTTTAACAAAAAATAATAAATAAAAACTTTTCCCATAAAAGTAATTTGTTCTTATCTTCAAAAAATACGAAGGTTTTGTTTGAATTGTAAAACATTAATAATAATTTTGCCCAAAAAGAATATTTTTATTATGTTGTTACTTATTTCTCCTCCTCTTCCTCATCCTCACCCTCTTCCTCTTCCTCTCCCTCATAGCACATCCTCATCCTCATCCGCATCCTCAATTTCTTTTCTAAATAAATCCTCATCCTCATCCTCTTCCTTATAACTACATCCTCATCAACCCTAGTCTGAGATACACCATCATGTCACCATCTACGATTAGGCTAAAGTACGTCAGCGCTTAAAGGACCAGAGGATTATTATTTACAAGCTACTTTATTACAGAACTAACCTCCAGATCCAAAACAGTCAATACATGTGCCGTCCTTGAAATGCAGCTTTATTGGGCCAGCGATCAGTCCCTTAGCTGTGGCCACTATTCCTAGGCTCCAGGGAGGTGTTTCTAACAGGCAACAAACATCTCTGACCGCAACATCTAAGTTAGCTTGTTTGCTAAATTTAGTAACATTTTGATAGAAGAGCTCCCTAGTAACGAAATAAGTTTAGGGTAAATTTAAACACGTCTAATAAAGTCAAATGGTACATCACTTATTCAATAAAGTTTTTATAATACCTTCTAGTCACCGATTGGTTTTTGTAAAGAAGTTCATGAACCTTTGTCAAAACAAAAACTATGGAGTTGAACCTTGTTTTATCTTCGTGATTAGAATAACTTAGCGTTGTCTTCCTTGCATCTCCAAATTCCTTTAGTGCTACTCTAAAGGTAACAAAGGCAAGTGCAAAAAGCAAAGGTAAAAAAGTAAGGTAAAAAAAGCAAATGCATCAATTCCAATTGAACCTTCTAACTTATGGAAGTATCTTTTAAGAGGTATGGTAGATATAGTTTCATTTCAAACGTACTTGTCTGAATCGTAAACGCAATTACTCCACAAACGCTGATTTCTAATTACTAATATCGGTGTTTCGCCTATTTCTGCAGAATTATTTATTTTTCCAAGAATATTTTCGACATTTCTAAGTAATTTTTTTCTTAAAATGTTCCTTTCATCCAAAAAATTATTTGCTTTACAATCTAAAATCACACTTTAAATTTACATTCCTTCCTCCGACAGCATAAAAAACCGAATGTGCCTCATATACCTTTCTCTAACAATGATTTATTCAATATTTGTTGAACTTCCAGAAAATCCATCCGCCTATCCGGTAACAAGACTTCGCTATGCAAATCATCCAGCTCGTTTCTTCCGTACAGTTTATCAATGGCCGCTACCAAATTCGGGTCTTGTTTAAATACAGACACCGATTTCGATGCTAAATCTCTTGCGAGCATTGACAAATCCCTATTCACTAATTCCATTTGAAAGCCGGGCAGCGTCTGAAAGGCCCATTCAAGACTAAGGTAATTGACAAACGAACTCGATAGAGCTCTTATTAAGTAAACCACCGGTAAAAGTGATGATGATCCTTACCTACCTAGTGGCGAGATGTTTATCGGTAGTAAACAATAACAGCGTCACAATACCGAGATCGTAAAAGGACCCGAGACAATAAAGCTCTCCTAGCGTTTTTACAGCGAATTCGAGCGAAGAAGCGAACGGGACAAATTCATCGTCGGTGGCACATCCGACTCGCGTGCACTGAAAAAAAAATTACACAATAGATATAATCGAGATAGCCGAGGCAGGCGTCTCAAGGAGCAGATGACACGGTGTGACGGCAGCACAAAAGGCGTGAAATGACGTCATAATAGCCTCGAATTATCGCCCCCTCTTGTCTCAGGCAAATATTTAACAGCGAAGCAGTTTTTGTCCTCTTTCTTCGGCAGGAGATCGTAAATAACAGGGTTACGGAGGGCGAACGACGGGACCGTTACCGCAGCGCTTTGTTACATGTGACATATTGCGATGAGATGATGTTTATGTCTTATTATTGATCCGTGTGTGAGTTATGGCTAAGCTTCGGATTTCTCGGTAAGACAGAGATATTAATTTCGAACGGTGGTCGAGGCAATTAACATAACATAAAAAGCCTATTAAATGGATGATATATTTATATGAATGCATTCTTGAAATCACCCGTTTCAAAACTACATTAATACGCAGCTTTATTAATAAAATATGTTTTTTTTGCGATTTTAGAAAGATTCTGTATGTGATTTATAATGGTGATTTTTTGTAAGGCGGAGCAGGCATCTGAGTAGGTCGAGTTGGTCATCTGATGTTAAGTACTCACTTTCGCACATGAACTTTCGCAACACCTGCAACATTAACATCCTCGCAACGAGGATTTGTAAATGCGTTCCCGAACTTTGAATAGGCAGGGGTATGATAAATGAAAGCTACAATGTTACATAATCCATCATGAACTCTCTACTGTTGTAATACGGTGTACAAGGATAAAAAAATTTTACCACTTGGCAGGCGGCTGCAGCCACATTATTACCGTTGTAATGTTATCATATTTTTTTTGTTGAAATATCATTTAACTTTGGAGTTACTTTACTGATTCTTTATAAGTAAATCAGGACATTTAAGAAGCAGAAACTATGGCAACACGATCACTTTACTTCGCACAACTTTTCGAGAACCTACTCCAAAATCTAAACTACCACTAATCTAAACCAACTAAACCAATCTAAACCAACTAAAATCTAAACCAACACTTGAGGAGAAACATTTATGAAACGGAATTCAATCGTAAGTATATTTCATTAATTCCGGAACACTAAATCGTCAGTGCACACGTATACATATATTGGATTGCGTTAAGTCAATACATTAACTACATAAGCCAACCCATTAACACTAGAGGTGTGAGAATGTAACCATTAAAAGGAGGTTCCCAAACAGCTAGCTAGGCGCCCCAAGGCGCGCCGATAGCATCAGCGGGTGACAGCCCGCACAAATACCATACAAATTGCTCGATGGCTCCTTCAGTTTGATTGTTGCAATTATTCGGCGAACCCTTTCGCAACTCCGCGACCGCGGGGAGGTGAGAAAGTACTTATCTGCCGACTTGATCGCGAGCGGCGTCCAAACTCTTTCACGTCGGCGTGAAGCAACAATCGTTGGGTTTGCTGCTGGTTTGACACCGCGGGAAGGCATGTTTTCCGTCGCCATTACGCACCTCTTCGTTGCGATTTTTCTTTGATTCGTATGTCAGATAATATTTATATTTATTGCAACCGGTTTCCGTTTTTAAATTATTTCTTGTGCCGCTTAAAATATTTTTAAGGAGAGAAGCGAGGGAGTTTAACATTTTCGTCTTGTCGAACCGGTCGCTATGAACTCTTCAACGGTATTTCTGCCGCGGAAAGCACTTAAAAAGTGAAATCGCGAGTTTTAATGCGCCCCGAAAAAAAAACTACAAATCCGCTATTCTATTACAAATGACCAACTTCCCACAAAACAGGCCACGTCCTCCAGGCAGGCCACCGATGCGGAAATAAAAGCGACAATTATAAAAGCTATAATGAAACATTGGTGAGACTGAGCGCGGCGAGTGGCTGCCGGTAGCCGCGGGGCGCCGGCCCACAATGGACCACCATCGCGCTATCTCGATGGACGATACGTTCCCGCTTAATTGACTGCTCAAACGCCATTTTAATACTTTGTTATTGAATGCGGATAAAAATGAGTTTATTGCACGCTCGAGTGGCCGTTGCAACAGAATGGGAGGGCTGCGATCGTTGTTATAAACATCGCAATGTTTTCTAATCATTGAAACAACGCAAAAAGAAAGATCCGAATTATATATATGCATATGTCTAATCCGAGTCTTGTATTTCATTTATTTTTATCTTTTTTGTCGACTTAGTGCATAAATCGAAAACAGGGTATCTTATAAAAATTTCCCCACAATATCTTAAAACGGTTCGCCTACTATGTGCCCTAATGTCCTAGAAATCTGAGGCCCATGAACTAGTCCTAGGCAGTAATCGTCGCTTCGCTTTCAGGAAATGTTTTTAATGAGAATACAAAAAAATTGCTTTAAGCGTTTACGAACAATATAAATTGCATTGTTCGTTTACGAAGTACGCCAATAGGTCTATTGTTCCCGATCGTGTAATTGCTACTGCATCTTTTCATATTCGCGCATTCTTATAATGGAATCGAGCCCGTATTCCCACAAACGATCGCGTATTGGAATCGCAACTATTTCTCATGTGTAGTGGCTACTTGCGCTTTGTTCGTTTAACAATGCCAGCAAACGCAAGTCCACGCATACGTCTGCAAGTTCACCTTAAAAGCTGCATAAGTGCTGGGGGCCTGGTGCTTTTTGTTTCTATCATTGTCACATTGTAAACGATTAAACCGATACGTTTCATTTCTGAACGTTTGAACATGACCGATGTGCTTGTAAGATGTTGTGAATGATGTGATGCTTAAAAGATTAGTTTTTTTTTTTTTTTGAAAAGCTAAATTTGAAATCGTAAAAATAGAGGTAGATGAAATATTTTGAACTCTACTAAACTGATCTCTATGACGATACTCTACTGAACTGAACTCTCTAACTAGATTTGATCGAGATTGCTTGGAAGCTATAAAGTCAAAACGTTAATCAAATTAAATAGTAAGAAACATATCGTTAGGAAAAATAAAAAGTGCGCAAAGGAGCGGCCCATGAGGTAATAATACCAAAATTATAGAACCTGCTCAATCATCGAATTGTGCTACATCAGCAAGCTCCTGTAACTTGTAATTATAATGTAAAAAAAAAATAACAAAATTCAAAGTAACAAACTGTATCTGTGACACTAACCTGAATAAATATTAGCCTAAACGTTTCCACGGGACGAAACAATTTAGTGTGTAAAAATCTGTGAGCGGCGGTCGAGTGTTTCGAAAGACCTAAATTAAAACCGACCCCAGTTCGACGGTGAAGTGGCGTCCCGTTGTGCCCTAACATCGCACCCGTTCCCACCCCACTCCACCCCGCAATATGCTACTGGACGAATTTACATGTTAAAGAGCGACTGTCACATATTAAACGCCACAATTATACAATCCATTAGATTTATTGCTAAGAAACAATGAATCTCGAGTGCGTCCAACCCTTTTGTTTAACCCAAGCGCCAAAGCGACGAGTGCGTCGCTCATTTATGGGGTAATTAATAGAAAAGTTCTCATGGAAATGAGAGGGATTACAGACAATTAAAAAGCCTTTTGATTCGCTTTTGTTTACTTTGCGAACAATGCGTTTAATGTAGCTTCGTTTATTTATTGCATTTTTATTATTACTATGGCATAAACTCTTTTATATAGTAAGGGAAGCTAACGTTAGGAATTTTTGTTTATATAAATAAATATCGAAATGCAATACTTCTCCAGAAATTGTACATGAGTAGGTACGTGACTACTTTTATGACCTATATGTAACAAAGACAATTTTTTTTATTCCTTCACTTTTGGCTGGGGGTCAGTATTCATAACCGAGCTCGAATATTATATTCGGTCACGAGGTAATATTATTGGATATTAAAAATATATGCTTAATATCCAACATCGCAAGACTTAAATGTCTTACTTAAATGTAAATGTTTAGCATGTCTAAACCTCCAAATTACCAAAATTGGATTTTTAAAGTGATCACAATATTTTGCGTCATAATCCAATTTACGAGAAGTCATAATTGAAATATAATGACTACTTTTTTAAGGAGGACATTTTATGGTAAGTGACTTCAAGTTCAATTACTTTTTGCAACCGACACCAACTATTAGATCACAAATATAGGACCTGTTGCTTAGTAAGTTTTACTAATTCTAATGTTCTAAAGTAAGCTCTGGACTTCTCACAGGCAATGAAAAGGTTATGTATCAACTGTGGTATGGCCACGCAACAGTCTTCGCTGTTGCAATTTCTAATGGCTACCTCACTCAATAGATGCCCTTCGTTTAAAAGCTGTTGCGTGGCACTACCATAGTAGAATAATCTAATCTAGTGTAGTAATCAAATGAATTTTCGTAATCGAAAATTTGTAGAGTGAAAGAAGTAAATTAGACTGCTTTGACTCTACAAATTTTTCATCCACTCATAAAGAATTCAGAGAAAAAACATTACGAATAGCGGATGTCACTATGAATTAGAATTATTAGAATTATTTAGATGCAATCTGCCATCGAGAGTTCTAGAAATTTTTCACCAAAAGAAGATGTGAGAGAGTTAAAGTTTTGAACGAAAAGAAATAAAGCCAGAATGATCAGTATCAATAAAAATCATATAAAAAACATTTTTTTGAAGTTATTTGGGTACCTACGGACCAGGTTTGTGGGTTAGCAAAATTAATGACGAATGCACGTATAAACAAAAGTAAACTATATTTCAGTAAAATAAAAAGCCTTCATTTACACCGATGGTGATAAAATAATATTTACATCTCTTAGCGGCATTTAACCATGTACAGGTCCCGAGTTTTGAATAAATAAACAATCTTTATTGATCTAATAGTTACAAGATTAAATCTATTTAAAATTACATATTATCTAATAAACCTAAGTTTTGAATTAGTAACATAATACTTAATATTCAAGATAACCCTTCTAAAATCTCGAAATCGAAGTTAAGTATTGTATAATAACGGCAGCTGTGCTGTTTTCTGCAGCTGCATTCAAAGCTTTTCTAAGTTAAATCTAGAATGTTCTACTAATAACAAATACAAATATATAGCGAGCACAAACGAGGATAAAATAAGATTTTGCATTAACTTACCTACTTTACTACTTACATGTATTCAAGCCATTAATACAAAGCAGACTTAGCTTAACTCGATGTTTTTAGTTTATATTTTATCAGTTTAAAATTTTTAACTCACCCATCCAAATTGAGTAAATGAAAATGCAAAAATGTTCGACTAATATTAAAAGTACTGAAAATACCACACGATGTAGGGATACGCCTCGAAAACTCACGTTCTCTTTTTAAAATGGCGCCATTCACTTTTTTTTTAAATCGTGACCAATAATGATATTATATTTTTAAATATAATACAAATAACAACAGTTAAAATTGTGACTATAATTATTAGTTTGAACATTTAAAATAAATTCCAGTAAAAATTAAGAAACACAATTACTTAATAAATAAAATATACAATGAAACATATCATGCAACATGAAAACAAAAAGACACAAAAGATTAACCATGCTATTTATTCCGAGGTGCTACAATGTAATAATCTTGTTGTTAAATTTAATGCACAGATCTTAAACCTGGTTTAATAAGGCGCTTAAAGAAAAAAAACATATCGTCTATGAACGGTGGGCGTAAGTGACAGCTGCTTACACAGATAAGATCTTAGCGAGGACACGTGGAGTTTCTGTCGGACCTAAAGGCAGCACGCGTCTACGATTAATCCGTTCGTATTTCCTTAACATTAGTGATGTATCAGTCAAAAGTTATTTATCGATATATCGATTTAGAGATATTATAGTGAAGTGTATTAAGACAGATTGCCTGTTCCAAAAAAATTTTGCCCATGTCATGTATATTTTCATTTAAAATGTACGAAAAGCTTTTCGCTGTGGGAATCGAACCCACCCATATTTCGGATTCGCGAATTATGTATGAATTGCGCCCACCCGTAATACTGCCGCGTGGCGAGCTATTCCTACCCCATACCCAATGCCTTCAGCACTGGATAGCCTTAGCAGTCGGGTGTCAAGAACACAATGTAGACTGTCCCTTAATTAGTATTAAATTTTTTATTAATTATAATAAAATGGGTATTGTAACGTAAAAAATCCTTACTAATATTATAAAGTCGAAAGTTTGTTACGTATGGATGGATGTTTGTTACTCTTTCACGCAAATACTACTGAATGGATTTTAACGAAACTTTACATTAATATAGATTTTACATCAGAATAAGACATAGACTATAATTTATATACTTTTTTTATGTGAAAAGTTGCCAGACGGTTCACCTGATGTTAAGTGAATACCGCCGCCCATGGACATCTGTTAGATGCGTTGACAACCTTTTGAAAATTGACACTCACCAGACGAAACGCGAAAGTATTATACTTCCACTTTACGCCGGTCTTCCATGAGGTAGTGGTACTTACCCGGAGGAGTCCGCCCATTCCTGCAACAGCCAAGGCAGCTGCGTGGCCCTAGCA